GAACAGGGCCCTGTTGTTTGACTCATATAATATGCAGAGACCACTGAAGAACTACAGTTTTATGGAAAATTGTTCAAAGGAATGACCTTGACTTTATTACAGCAAGTCACCACCTTCTTTCAGCTGCGCCCTTTCCAGTCCCTTGCATCCTCCTCTGACACACCAACCCTCCGCATGTCCTCCTGCTACATCCATGAATCTTCTCTGAGGTCTGCCTCTTCTCCTCCTCCCTGGCAGCTTTCTATTCAGCATCCTTTGTTCAGTACATTTAGTTTCTCTCCTTTGCACATATCGTCAGTTCTGCCTCTCTAACTTTGTCTTTCAAAGCGGACCCTCTGATGTACTCTTTCCTCCCTCCTAATAACAATATTAACATCTTCAACTCTCCAGTTCAGTCTCCTGTCGTTTTGTCAGTACCACCATCTCCAAACCATACATTATAGCAGGTCTCACTACCATTTTATATACCTTCCTTATCACTCTCACTCTCAACAGCACCCTTGGGACGAATGAAGTTAGGTGAATCTGAATCTTTTGCTATTATCTTTCTGTCACAAATCCCCCCTAACACTCATCTCCACCCTGCCTGCACCGACTTCATCACTTTTCTTGTGCACTGTACATTGCTTTGGATATTTGACTCCAGGTAATTAAACTCATCTACCTTCACTATCTCAATGCTCACTTTCCCACCTTCCTCACCTGTCATTCTCGCACATATTCTGTCTCCAGAGAATACCCCCACCTCTCCAGGCTCGCTTCCACCTTCTCTCTACTCTCAGTACACATACTTCTCTTCTCTTGGTACCCATCATATACTTTCTCTAGATCCACGATTTAGAATAAATAAACTTTCCTTTGGTCATCAATACCAGACTATTAAATTTAATAATTATATAAAATGTATCCGACAAAGTTTTTGCAGAGATCAGTTTGGTTTAGATAAAAGTTTGTATTGTTTCTTGTTACAAAGCATTGCTGGAACAGGGCTTTGGTTACTGTTTTACTCACCGTTCACTTCCTACGGACCTGCTTTCTCCACTAAGGTCCGCAGCCGCATTAGAAACAACTGAATAGCTGCTTCGTTTAACAGCCTGTAACCAAACATTCTGTAGAAGTGATCTAAGGAACTTACCGTCAGCGGTATAAGACGAAGTTTGCAGAGTCTCCGTCACAGCGCACCGTAGGCTGAATAGTTCACGACGCACTGGAAAGTAAACACCTGCCGTTTCTTGAAAATTAAGCGTTCAAAAACAACGGCTAAGCTTCAGGGAGAAAGCGAAAGTGCGCAGAACATACAGAACAGAACAAGCGCGCAGTCCGTCATGACGTCATGTGGCCGGTTTCTTATGGAGGAGTGTCGAGTCGGGAGCGGTGGCTGGGTAATAGTGCCAGAGGCAAGGTACACCTTGGACAAGCTGCTTGTTTTATGACCCAAACAACTATTCACACTCACATTCACATCTATGGGCAATTGAAAATTTTGGGTCCAATTTTAATTGATTAACGCCACATTTGATTGAATGTTTAAGGATATGTTTATTTAATTCATTATGGGACTCGTAGACCTCCATATTTTCCTACTGCACTTTCATTTTTATATGACCTCTGTGAGGTAAAAGTGGCTGTCATACACTATGATGAGTTGGAGCAGACTAATTCTGAGAGTCTTAATGAAATTTAAATGAGCTTTAACTCTTTAAAATCTCTTCACAGAGCAAACAGATGCTTTTCTCATATATATATATATATTGGTACTCTTAGAAATGAAAACATTTAGTATAGATGAAGAAAAACAGAAGTCTCTCGGGTTGCGTAATTCTGAACTCTTGTCTTTCAGTTTCACTTTGTTTTGCTTAGTGTAAACATATCTCTAATGGCAGAATACACACACACACACACACACACACACACACACACACACACACACACACACACACAGTGTATTGCTGATGCTCATTTCAGCCCTTTAAAAACCTTACTATTCATTTCTGAACAGTGATCAGCCCATAATGGAAAGCTTGTGTGCCATGAGGTACAGAAACATTACACACACTGATGTCAGTTGCTTTTTTTAATGTAATAACAAGTTCTTTCAACTGATGTGACTTTAGCTGTATGGTTAATGAAATGAAACAGCTTTGTGCTCCAAAATAAGAGGAAATAAACAGTATAATATAAAAATTAATCTTTATTGCGCATAATTACATAAATAAAATATTTAAAAAGTATTTTCTTCAGCTTCTTTAGATTGTGGTATGATCTTTTGCTGTCACTCAAAAAGCTCAGTCACAGCAGCATCACACCGAAACAGTGCACATGAATTCAAATGTATGGGATGAAGCTTCTGTTGCTAATGTACTATATCACCTTCATCTGATTTTAGCTGTTTTCTGAAAAAACCTATCCATTTTCTATCATCCACACTGAAATATACTTTGACCTAATAAAATATCATTTATTTGCCTTTCTTTGGTATGTTTTTTGTATGATATTTGAGTATGTTTTTACTTTCTGCTTTCACACCACTGAACAGACTGAGGAGGACTAGAAGCTTTCTGACATGTATAAATGCAGCCTTTTCCATTTACTGCTGCTTTATACAATACTTTTATTCCTCTACATTGCGCCATCCATTATCAGAGAGGCCTCAGTTTCTATAGATGTTAGGCACCATGTGTGATGTGGTGGTTAGTAATACTTGGGCACCACAGGGGACGGTCCAGTCTCCATTCATGTTCACTTTGTACACCTCAGATTTTCAGTGCAACAGTGAATCATGCCACCTGCAGAAGTTCTCTGATGTCACTATAGTGAATGGGCGGGTTAAGGGTGAGCAGGAGTTGGAGTATAGGGAGCTGTCGGGGAATTTTGTGGAGTGGTCGGGTAAAAATCACCTCCTTCTTAATGTCAGCAAGACAAAAAGAGCTGGTGGTTGACTACTGGAGGAAAAAACTGCGACTAGGTGCATCATGCAGGTGGGGTCTCTTCTGTTAATCTTCATATAGTTTCACACTGAGGAGAGAAAGATATTCAGTTAAATAGCAAACCTCTTGTACGTTTGCAGAGACATCAGGCAGTGCAGGTTTGAGTGGATAACTCATGGCCGTCTTACCTGGTTTCTCATTCAGTGTTTTCAGTTCTATTTCTGTTTCTTTTTCTTCATTCTTAGTGAAAAACAAAAAAACAAAAAGAAGAAGACATAATTACTTTGATAAATCAGGTGTTGCCATCCGTTACAGTCCACACTCCTGTGATATTCAAACATACCTTCCTCAAGTTGATTAGGTGTACAATTATTTTTTCGTCTTTGCAAAAAAAAAAACAATTTAAAAATTAGTGTAAAAATATTATTTTCTATCTAAATTGTGATAACAATTTTATTGTTCTGTTGTTCTCACCTTTTAGACATCCAATCTTCTTTCTACAGAGACACAAAGCTATAAGTATCACGATTAATAAAATCAATAACAGGCAGCCAGTGATGATCCAAGAAAGAACCACATTCTCATCTTGTTCTTCACACTGAGCATCAGTTGTAGCATTTCCTGGTCTTATCAGCTTAAGGTTTAGTGACTCACATCTGGAAGGACAGAGAGATACTTTACAGAAAAATGTACAGATGTGCCACAATCACTGGTGCTGGAGGAAATCAGACGTGTCTGTGTCTGCTTTGAAGCTTCACTTACGGTCTGTGTGGCCGGCAAAACTTTAAAGTTCCATCTGAAAATGTCCCAAAGCTGCACACAGAGCACTCAGTGTCTCTGAAGGCTGTTCCTGCATCAACACGAATATGCACCATTTTCAGCATGTACATCATGATGGATCAGTGAGTGACTGTGACATCAGAGTAATTATATGTGTCTAATGACAACCAGTTTAAAATACATCTAAAAGCATTTCCTTGTTTCAGTTTCTAAATGTAATCTTTCTGAGTTCATTCATGTGGTGGAGTGATGGAAAGCAGCTTTACTACAAAGTAATAACACCATATTGAGAAACCACAGCAAGTATACAACAGAAATATTATTCCTTCCAGTTTATTTACACGTAAGCACAAGAATACAACCTGCTTGGCTGATGTATTCTCCTGGGTTACAGCGTTTGTGTTTTTGTGCTTCCATACAGTGAACACCTGCACAGTAGAATCCATCCCGTGGTTCACAAATTGTATCTGATGTTGTTGTGCATGCCCTCTTTTTCTTCACATCTGAACCTGTGAGCACGTAGAGAGGACGCATGTTAGACAGGATGCTAGGGATTGGGAAAGAATGAGGCAGAGAGGTCACTGTTGTAGTGATATTATGATGTGATTCATCAAAAGTGACTTATGGTGTTTTTCCTGCTTAAAATTAGACACTATAACAGTAATCAACATTTAATCAATTATTTTAAAATTACTGATATATTAAAAGTTTGTAATAATTGTCAGATTGAACAATTGAACATTTTAATTCAGAAAAAAATATTTATAGAAAACATCAATGAAATTGATGCTTCCTTTTACTTTGATGAAAATCTAAAGTACGGTATATTATCTGTAGGCAACATCACGTAGAGGGTAAGAATGTCAAATCAAAGCAATAGGACCCTTATACCAATCTTTACTGAATTTCCCGGAGGAAACTAAAGAGCACGAGGAAATAAAATAAAATGTTCTGTCTGTCTGTCTGTCTGTTTATCTAACACTTTTAATTCTTATACAGCAGTAACAGCTTCACTAGTTTCCTAAATAAGAAATATGACTAAAAACCTACTTGGGTCACAGATTGTGCAGTGAGTGCATTGTTTGAGTCCGCTGGGCTTATCAATGTGGGTTCCATCCTCGCAGGGCACACAGGAAGTGTTTGCAGTCCTTGTGCAATCTGTCTTGACTCGATTTCCTGTTATAATAGAAAAAAAGCAGACTATTTTCAATGCATGTCGCTGTTACTCATCTAAACTGTGAAACATTTAGAGTTATAAAGGTGTGAAGTTGAACTTTTACATATAGAGAGACAGTAAAGAGCAGGACTCCATGTTTAATAACCAAAGTAAAATCAGCCTCTAACATTCAGCTGGATCTTACCTGCAGGACACTTTGAACAGCACAGGCCTTGTACTTTATACATTTCTGAAGGACATGAGTGAGTGAGGACACTGAAGACTTTCATCATGATTATCTAAAAAAAACAAAGAAGAAGAACAAAGAATACATTTAAAAGTAGAACCGCGCTTCAAACTGAGAATGGCTCGACTAACAGAGAGCAGCAGGAGGTGGAAAAGAAGAAAGAAATGAAATGAAATGTGCAACAACCTGAAAATGAGAGCTGAGGATTGAAGAAGGAAGATAGTGATGACAGCATCAATTTAAATGAAAAATTGACAGTACAGGAGGAAATTATAGCATGTAATTCACACAGTGATGCAGATGTGAGTCAGAAGATGTTGAGGGGGTTACAAAATAGTTACATAGAAGGAAAAAAAAATTGTTTTATTTTTTTTAAAAGCTTCTTGTAAGTTTGTATGATAAATATTTTACCAGCAACACTGCAGCTGTCAAAGAATTTCCTCCTGGAATCATTTTATACAGCAGAATGAAGACTTTCCTGAACTGAAGACCGTCTCACTGAGATTTGCAAGGAGATGAGCTGTATATGATCTAAAACAGCAGGAGAACATCTGAAAAAAAAATGTAAGTGAGCAGCAGAAAACCTGGTTCCTGTGGATAAAAAGTTAAATGTTTATGATTCAGGGTAAAAAATTGATTTGCTTTTTGTTCTTTGTTTGATTGTTTTTTTTAATTGTTTTTTTTATAATGAAAGAAAAAAGTATTTAAAGGAATAACCTGGTGGTTTGCGTTACAGTGCTTAACAAATATATTAGAACAGAGATATTTTAGAGGTCTGTCAAAAAAAACTGTGTAAAACTAAAACTTATATTCTTTATTATCAAACAAATAACAAACTAAATTCGTGATTTTACCCCCACATTTGAGCTGACACGCTTGACTTCACTGATATTATTCATAAATATTATTCAACCACTAAAACCAGCTATTCTGTAAGTAAACAACTATAATTTTGATTCTAACCTAAAAAAAAAAATACTACTTTTTTTTTTTGGTAAAACAGTATACTTGAAAATTCTTGGAAAACAACAATATGTGGATTTCAGCATTAACAAGTGACTTTTGCTTAAAGAGCTTGTACATACTGATGTAGTAACCATAAGAGAAAATTAAAATAATTATCATTAGTGTTAATTTAGGGCAGATGTGGCACAAACGTTATAGCATAAAGCACACGAGGAAATAAAATAAAATGTTAACATTTTTTTAAATGAAGATCAAAGCTAGAAAATATGTATTTCCCTCACAAGCTTCATGCTATTGTAAAGATATAACAACATTTAAAATGAACTTTTTCTTGAGGAAGTCAAAATGTAGTTAATTCATAATCAGTTCAGAATTTAAAGTTAAGAGTTTGTTAAACGTGCCCTCTGGAACATGGCCCTGGTGTTTGTCTTGTATATATGCAGAGTTCATATAGAAATTATAGATGGCTGCCGTGCCTTCGAATTATGCTACATATCAGCCTAAGTCCCAAACACCAACGGTCACACGGTACCACTCCAAGGAAAAATGTGTGACAATTTTTTCACTGAATTATCAATAAAGATCATTAAAACAGTAAAAACTGTCATATATTATTCTGATTTTATCTGGATTGTTAAATAATATTGAGTTTGTGGAGACAAATGATCAAACGTGAGGGCAGTTTTGGGCCTTGCCTTCTTTGAAGCTGCTTCAGCTTTTGTCTAACTTTCCTTTCCTCATCAACAACGATTATCAAACCTAATAACTGTAACGATTGTAACTTCAAAGTTTTTGAGTAACCGGCTGGATTTAGATACAAGTAAGTATTGTTTCTTGTTACAAACCGCTGCTTCATTTACTTCTCTACAAAGCTCCTTTCTTCACTAATGTCTGCAGCTGCATTAGCAACAATTTAATAACTGCATCAATGCTGTGAACACCTTCTGTATCAGATCCTATAAACAAACCGTGCAGAACTGATTCAAGACTCTTACCCTCAGCGGTATAAGATGAAGTCTTTAGGTTTCCATCGCAGTAAATCTTTGCAGTTCGTGAAAATTAAACGATTAAAACGAAAAGCAGCTTCTCTGTGAAAGTGAAGGTAAAGAAAAAAATGTTACAGAGCATGAAGGGGAAGTCCGTGTGAACTGTGGAAGTGAAGGTACTGCCTACCACAGCACGGTTTCTCTGTGAGCTTTCTCTCTGTTTTAGATTATCTGTGTTACTTAGGCCACAAGTGGCTGTTGAGTTATGTGAGTGTTTTGAGTTATGATTCGGAGTGGACGACTTAAAACCTGACTAAAGTCTCTTTAGAGCTCTTTAGGGCAACAGAGTAAACACGGAACACAGAGCTTTGAATCCAAACTGGCGCCTTTCCCGTACAAGTTTTTGGACTCTTTAAGAGATGAAAACATTTAGTGTAGATGAAGAAATGCTGACGTCTTCTGAGAGGACAAAGGGTCTGGCAAGATTCTGGGGAAATTCCATTATCTTTTCTTTCGGTTTCACTTTGTGCTCAGTTTAAACACAGCACAATGCACAATGAACTTACTGTTCATTAACTTTTTGTAGCAAGACAGTGTATGCAAACACTTTGTGGCTGCGATACGCTGTTTGACACAACACAGCCACAAAGTTGTCTCCTGAATGCAAAAATCCTCTCTTTCTCTCTTCAGCACATACAGGGAACAATAGTTGCTCATTGCAGGAATCATACAGATTTTAGGTACAGACAGCAAACCTTTTACAGTGAGCAAAGTGCATTTGTGTGTCTAATAGTGTGTGTCTAAAACACAGAAGCAACAGACTCACTGATTTCAGCTGTCTTTTATATAATAACAAGTCCCTTAAACAGCTGTGACCTCAGCTGGAGGGTTACAGAAATGCAATAAACTGGGGATGGTAATGGGGTTGCCTAGCAGTAGCGGCACTCTTTGTGCTGGTTTGGTGGGTTGCGTCTCCATCCCCATCCCCCTCACCCCTCAAGTGGGTTCATGTAGCAGGGTCTACCAGGCATTAGACCTCGACGCCATCAGCAGTAAGATGTGGGAAACCTTTCCCACTGGACAGCAAATTATTTGCTAAGGCAGCTATCCAGCCATCAGGTTGAGCCTTCAGGTCTTTGGAAAGTGCTGATCCCAGCGCTGCACTCTTAGCACACCATTAATGAAAAACCTGTCTTCATAGCCCAAGAAAAACATTCCAGAAAAAAAGACCAAACCAAAGCTGACAATAAACGTCTGATCCAAACAATACAATTCCACAAATAGTCCACATTAACGCTCCTTAACGGCAATTTAAACTCCAGTCTTTAAAGTTTAAACTCACAACAAGTAAATATCCTCCAGGCACAGACCTCATCTTCTAAGTGGCACAATGCTTTTGGCCACTCCGTGTGATCAAAAATTACAGAATTAAAATAAATAAATTTTAAATACTGCCAGAATCAAACAATTAAATTCACACAGAGGCACAGCTCGGCACCTGAGCTGCTGCTGTGACCAAATTAGCATCTCTAAATTTTTAAATCCTCAGTAAATAAAAAAATTAATAGAAGCTTGAAAAAACCTACGCTACAACTTGGCACACATGTGCTGGGGTCACACGCACACATTCAACCACATGCGTGCACTCTCACAAACTTTACTACTACTATAGGTAGCTATGAGATCTTAGCTCTGTATTCAATACCTTGCCTGATATCCTAATTAGCTTGCTACGAGACTTTGGCCTCCTCATCTTCATCTGCACCTGGATCAAAGACTTCCTCACTGACCTCCCACAGAGAGTTAAAATAGGCCCCTCACCTCTCTTCCTCCATTACACTAAACGCTGGTACACCTCAAGACTGTGTGCTGATTCCAGTCCTCTACTCCGTCTATGCTTACAGCTGCATACTAGTCCACCCATCCAACACCATAATTAAATTTGTTGAGTGTTGTTGCATTCATCACAGGAGGAGATGAGTCAGCATACAGGGATGAATGCTCAGTGAATAATCAGACGCTGAAGACCACAAAGTTAAATGAATTGGTACGTGACACCGATCCGACCCCTCGGTGCATAAATGGTTTAGATATTCAAGTTCCTCTGTTTTATGTTGCTGTTTTAGTAGTAACTCAGTTCAAAACACTTAAATCTTACCTGCACTGGTTACTGTCCAGTGACCTTGTGGTATAGTGTCCTGCATTTGTATTCTACAAAACTGCACTGGGCTATTTATTAGCTCAATGCTAAGATTTTGGGTGTACCCAACTTTGGATGTACTATTTTAGGATGACTGTATCTTTTCAGACAGCCAAGGCTTGCTTTACAACATGCATTAAACCCCCAAACCAAGACGTAAGACCACTTCTGATAACAATGAGCTTAACAGCTGACACTGCAGCAATAGACCCATTCTAAAGATGGGTGTAACACACACAGACACGTACAGAGATTTCTTTGATATATTAAAGAGTATTTGTTTCACTCCCACTAAAATTGAATATTTGTTAAAATGCTCACTGAAGGCTCAAACTGTAAGTCTTGAATCTGGCACTGGAGCTTCTGCTGAGTTTAGGTCTCATTGTTATGAGACATAAATCTTTCATTATCTCTTGAAGGACATTTCTCCTGTCGTACACTGTGGGTAGATTATTACAGATGACCTGCCTGCCTTTTCATGCTTCCCTGATTTTATTCATAATATAATGAATGAAGGGCAGGAACATGTCTTCTCTGTAGTTGCTGTGAGGAGGTCACTCAGTGGGTCCTGATGATTGAAACTCTATGCTTCATTTAACTTAAGTATGTAAATGCAAGTGTAGATGTGCTATGGCAAAAATGTTATGAGAGACACTTACAGACCCTGGAGTGTATAACCGCACTGTGCTTGACCAAGGACTCCCACCATTAAGATTAATCAGTTACAACGCCATACTGGGAGGCTGGAGCTGATATGGAAAAAGAGCTTGTTACTGACATTATCCATCGGACTGGAGCCCAGCTACCATAGCTACACCTTGAACAGATCACCAGCCTGTCACAGGGCTAACACATAGAGACAGGACACCATTCGCACTCACGTTCACACCTATGTGCAGTTTAGAATTACCAGTTAACTTAACCCTGCTAAATGCATGTCTTTATGTAAGAATATTTTATATAAGAACACTTTATAAGATATTATACACATTGTTATACGATCCAAATTGGTTCCTTCATCATATACATGACCTTGGGTGATGCTACTCAAATTGGAAGGTCTTGGATATCTGTTGTGGCTAAAAAGGCTAACTCCTTTGTGTAAGAACAAAACTAAAAGAAGATCTTGACATGGCATGAAAAAGGCTCACTGAATTTTTCTGAGAAGGCTCTCATCTTTCCCAGTTCATCCGTCACCAAGCAGCACTGTTACAAATGGGAAAACTGGGAATACTGCACTTTGAGACCAGACATTTAGAGGCACGATGCGTCCTAGTTTTGGAAATGTCTTTTAATCAGGTCGCACACTGTAGTCTGACACTGTGACTACAAGCGGGGATGCTTCAGTGGACGGCTATCGACGTTCAAAGACAGCAAGCTCAGGAAATCTCTCAACAGGGACTCAATTAGAGAAGTGCAGGGATACTAGCATTGACCCACCGTGCAGAAGTGCTGCTGCTGTTTTTAAAGCAGCTGTGTGTGTTTGTGTGAGGGTGGGGGTGCATTTCCAAAGGGATGCTGAGTGAGCAAGTGAGCGATTAAGAGAGAGGCAGGCAATCTGAGAGTCTTTCTCCTGGGCAACATTTTTTTTAAACCGTGCTGGAACTAGATGAATGTTTATAGAAGAACAGCTGAGCATTATGAGAAGGGAAACAGGCATTAGAGACTAAACACAGACTAAGAAATTAAGCATTACAGCCAAATTAAAATTGTGTACCTATGAACACTGCACTGTTTTTCCACTAAATTTTATGTTTACTTAATTCATATCAATAAATACCAGTCAGTATGGCTTTATTGTGCTATTTCAGAAAAAAAAGATATTTTGCATTTTCAGTTCATGACATAATCAGGCTTTGTGATTCAATTCAATTCAATTCAATTTTATTTATATAGCGCCAAATCACAACAAAAGTCGCCTCAAGGCGCTTCAGTGATCCATCCACTGGTGTGGTATTTTGAAATACTAAAGAAAGTAATAATGTGAAATATTGCTCTGCTACACATATTATATCCTGTTAGATGGTGATCACAATCTGATTGGTCGTGACCTTGGAGACCTGGTCTTGCTTGTTGACTCACAGATTAGGAGGGTGTGGTTGTAGCCTTCCCATCACCACCCTGCTAACATCAGCAATGTGACCAATGCTATGGCATGCAGATATATTCACATATTTTCATGGTTTCATGGTTTTCTGAGCACGATCATCCTTGAAGCTAAACACAATGACACCATTTGTGGGATTTATCAGCATGGACAGAGTATATATGCTACAGTTAAAATACATGTAGATATGTAGACATAGGCAAGACGGCCTGTTCAAACAAAGTTCAAACAAAGGTGATTTAATGACATGGTTATCGGTGCTGGCTGGTGTTGGCTGCTCTGAGTATTTCAGAAACTGCTGATCTATTGGAATATTTCCACACAACCATCTCCAGGGTTTACAGGGAATGGTTCAAAAAAAGAGAAAATATCCAGTGAGCAGCAGTTCTCTGAGTGAAAATGCGGTGTTAATGCCAGAGGTCGAGGAGAATGGCCAGATTGTTTTAAGCTGATAGGAAGGAAACGGTAAATCAAACTTTTTAGAACCAAAGCATAGAAGACTTTAAAAACGTTACCTGGTCCGATGAGTTTTGATTTCTGCTGCAACATTTTGTTGGTATGGTCAGAATTTGTCATAAAACAACATAAAAGCATGAATCCATCCTGCCTTGTATCAGCTGTTCAGACAGGTGGTGTAATGGTGTAGGAGATGTTTTCTTGGCACACTCTGGACCCCTTAGCACAGGTGCTACAGCCTACCAGAGTATTGTTGCTGACCAAGAGCACCAGACAAATCTGTCAATATAGGCCATTTGGCGTGTATGCCACAAAGAATTAAGACAGTTATGAAAACAAAAG